GGGGCCCAGCCGCTCTGCGGCATGTGGGATCTTCCCGGACTGGGGCATGAACCCGTGTCCCCTGCATCGGCAGGCGGACTCTCAACCACTGCGCCACCAGGGAAGCCCCCAGAAGCCCAGAAGCATATCTTTTTTTAAGTGAAACGTTCTCACCATATAAAATGGAAAATATAGTAAAGTGCAAAAATAAATTAAAAAACTCTGGGGACTTCTCTGGTGGCACAGTGGTTAAGAATCCGCCTGCCAGTGCAGGGGATACGGGTTCAAGCCCTGGTCCGGGAAGATCCCACATGCCGTGGAGCAGCTAAGCCTGTGCTGTGCCACAACTACTGAGCCCGCAGGCCACAACTACTGAGCCTGCACTCTACAACTACTGAAGCCCGTGCTCCGCAACGAGAAGCCACCGCAATGAGAAGCCCACGTGCCGCAACAAAGTGTGGCCCCTGCTCGCCACAACTAGAGGAAGCCTGTGCGCAGCAACAAAGACCCAAATAAAGAAAGAAAGAAAATTCTTAGAAAAACAAACAAACAACTGTTCTATCACTACTCAGAGACCACTCTGAACTTTGATATATTTCTTTGATCTTTGGTATGTTTCTTCCCATTCTTTTTATCTCTAATAATTTGTTTTCTTAAATTGTATTTAAGCTAGGTTTTTAATTGTAATTAAATGCTTTGATACTTAAGGGCAATAGACAAATGGATGATCAAGTTGGCATTTTAAAATTAACTTGACTAAATGTAGGACTTGTTTGTGGATGTCTGCACAACACTACCTATCTGTGGATGTAAAGGGCTGCTAGGTGAGATTTTTGCCCATTGCAAAAACCTTCCTAAGAGTTGAGCAAGTGATTACAGAATTTTAAAGTACTTACTTTTTTTAAAAAAATTAATTTAATTATGGCTGTGTTGGGTCTTCGTTGCTGCGAGCGGGCTTTCTCTAGTTGCGGAGAGCGGGGGCTACTCTCCATTGCGGTGTGCGGGCTTCTCATTGCAGTGGCTTCTCTTGTTGCGGAGCACGGACTCTAGGCACGCAGGCTTCAGTAGTTTGTGCCTTGCGGGCTCTAGAGCGCTGGCTCAGTAGTTGTGGCGCACGGGCTTATTTGCTCCCGCGGCATGTGGGACCTTCTCTGACCAGGGATCGAACCCATATCCCCTGCACTGGCAGGCGGGCTCTTAACCACTGTGCCACTAGGGAAGCCCTAAGATACTTACTTTTAATGGAGAAAAAAAATTTTTTTTTGTAGGGCTGCCAGTGGCGATTCCAAACCTGGGTCCCTCCCTGAGCTCTCTGCCTTCTGCTTTGTCTCTCATGCTCCCAATGGGTATTGGGGATCGAGGGGTGATGTGTGGGTTACCTGAAAGAAACTACACCCTACCTCCACCACCTTACCCCCACCTTGAGAGCAGTTACTTCAGAACCATTCTACCTGGTAAGTGTTATAGTTATTCAGGAGTTTAGGAGAAAGAATTCAGCCAACTCTTAACTTCAGTTCTTGAAGGCTTGAATAACACTTTTTTCTGTTTGTCACTATTAGACATTAATCTTTGTGGGAAAAAATTGTTCATATTTATGTACTTTTCCTCTTAGAACATATAGATAACATATTAACATAGCAGTTTGACTAAGCTTAATTTCTTTTTTTTTTTTTTTTTTTTTTTTGTGGTACGCGGTCCTTTTTCTGTTGTGGCCTCTCCCGCTGCGGAGCACAGGCTCCGGACGCGCAGGCTCAGCGGCCATGGCTCACGGGCCCAGCCGCTCCGCGGCATGTGGGATCCCCCCAGACCAGGGCACAAACCCGCGTCCCCTGCGTCAGCAGGCGGACTCCCAACCACTGCGCCACCAGGGAAGCCCTAAGCTTAATTTCTCAATGGCACATAAACAATTTTTCTTGTCTCCTCTAGCATCTCCTTGGTTCAGTTTTTATAATTCTGCAGTTGTAATTCCTATCAACCACATGTCCTGCTTACAAGTGTCATTGTTTATTATAAATTAAAGTTTATTGAATTTTTATTCTAGAAGTATTATATACTCATTTCAAAAAATTTAGCAAATAAGGAGGAAGGGGAATCATTCATAGTCCCATCATCCATCTTTTTGGTGTACTTCCTTCCTGTCTTTTATTTTTATGTATAGGTTTTTACTGTTTTTCATAATTAACACTATATAGTACTTTCTATACAATTGTGTACCCTTTTTTTTACTTAATATTTTTCTCTATTTTTACATAGTTATTTTTCCCAACTGCTGTGTGGTTTTCATAATTATCCTTTTTAATGATGCATTATATTCTCCTGAGTGGATATTCCATGGTTTATTATATCTTTATTGTTGGACAGTTTTTTCCAGTTTTTTTAATAATCATATATGAATGTCTTTGTGTATAATACTTACAAAATGCATTTAGGTGAGATTACCATAAGTGGAATTTCTTGTGCAAGAGGGTATGAACATTTTTGAGGTTATTATTATAGATACTTTACAAAGAGGATTTAGAAATTTAGGCTCCTACTGGCAATGCAGCAAGTACCATTTCACCACATCTTCATAAGCACGAGTGTTCAAATATTTTTTTCTGTTTTAATAAAGCAGGTATAATTGTGACTTGTTTTGAATAGAGCCTAATGTTTTATGATAGTCTAATAAGTTAAAAATTATATTTAATTTTTATTTTTCACATGGAAAATCTTTTAAATGATTTTACCTTTTAACTCTTATAGAGCAGATTTCCGCATCTTAAGACTCAGGAACTCCAGCCATGTATATATTAAAGGCAGCATTTATAAGTGATTAATTTCTAGTGACTTCAAAGGAACATAGTTAATTTTTTATGATTTCTGAGTTTCACAGGAAAAACTGAATTGTGGTATATGTATGTTGCTATTTATAAAGTATATAGATATCAAACCAAAGAAATAGGTAGGAGATTATTTTAGTTTAGTTACATTTGTAAGGAATTTGGAATTCTTTATATTTAACAATATACTGAAAAATTCCTGATATCTCATCTTTTCCTTTTCTCAGGCATTTTATCTTATTTAGCTGACAGACCACCTCCTCAGTATATCCACCCTAACTCTATAAATGTTGATGGTAATACAGCATTATCTATCACCAATAACCCTTCGGCGCTAGATCCCTATCAGTCCAATGGAAATGTTGGATTAGAACCAGGCATTGTTTCAATAGACTCTCGCTCTGTGAACACACATGGTGCCCAAAGTCTTCATCCCACTGATGGCCATGAGGTGGCCTTGGACACAACAATCACTATGGAGAACGTCTCTAGGGTCACCAGCCCAATCTCTACAGATGGAATGGCAGAAGAGCTTACCATGGATGGTGTTGCAGGCGAGCATACCCAAATCCCAAATGGCTCCAGAAGTCATGAACCTCTTTCTGTGGATTCTGTGAGCAACAACCTTGCAGCAGAAACTGTAGGACATGGTGGTGTGATACCCATTCATGGGAATGGCCTGGAGCTCCCTGTGGTCATGGAGACAGACCACATTGCAAGTCGGGTCAACGGAATGTCTGACAGTGCCCTCAGTGACTCCATCCACACCGTGGCCATGAGCACCAACTCTGTAAGCGTGGCACTCTCTACCTCACACAACCTCGCCTCCCTAGAATCTGTTTCCCTCCATGAAGTTGGCCTAAGCCTAGAACCTGTGGCTGTCTCCTCCATCACCCAGGAGGTTGCTATGGGGACAGGTCATGTAGATGTGTCTTCAGACAGTCTTTCTTTTGTACCACCTTCACTGCAAATGGAAGACTCCAATTCAAACAAGGAAAATATGGCAACCTTGTTTACAATTTGTGAGTGTGCTTAGCCTTTTTCTTTTGGAGATATTGATAGAAAGGGCCATCATCCTTAACAGGTTTAGTCACAAAGTCAGGTGTTAAGGGAGTATAGAAAGTAACTAGACTTTGGAACTTTTATTTGCCTTTGTATTGTCCTTTGTATTAATGTGGTGCCTTTTCCTCAGGTAAGCCAAACAGTATATAGACATTTTGTGGGTTCTTATAGCATCTTCCTGAAGTAAGGAAACAGTCATTTCTGTATTTTACAGGTAAGCTTAGCCTAATAATGCTTAAGGTATTTCCCAAGATTTCACAGATAGTTAATTATAGAAGTAAATTTCAGTAAGGTATTCTGTGTGACATGCCATTTGCTTTTTCAACATAAGACATATTTATTAGATCATGTGTAATATAATTCACATATGCATTTTAAAGTGTACAGTTTAGTGGTTTTTAGTATATTGACAAGGTTGTGCAACCATCACCACTGTGTAATTCCAAAATTTTTATCGCCCCATAAAGAAACCCCATTAGCAGTCACTCTCACCCCTGCCCCCCATTCTCAGGCAACCAATAATCTACTTTCTCTGGATTCGCCTATTAGACGTGTCATATGAATGGAATCACACATTATGTGGCTGTGTCTGGCTTCTTTCCAGCATAATGTTGTGATGGCTCATCCATGTTATAGCATGTATTAGTACTTTATTCCTCTTTTTGGAAGAAGAATATTCCATTGTATGCATATACCGCATTTTGTTTATCCATTTATCTTTTATGAATATTTTGTTGTTTCTCCTTTTTGGCCATTATATTCAATGCTGGTAGGAACATTCATGTACAAGTTTTTGTATGAACATATGTTTTTAATTTTCTTGGATATATATTAGGAGTGGAATTCCTCGTTTTGAGGAATTGCCAGACTGTTTTCCAAAGTGGCCACACCATTTTACATTCCCAGCGTCTGTGTATGAGGGTTCCATTTTCTCTACATGTTTGCCAAGACTTTTTTTTTTCTAATACCCATTGTAGTGGGTGTGAAGTGGCATCTCATTGTGGTTTTAATTTGCATTTCCTTAATGACTAATGATGTTGAACATCTTACATGTACTTATTGGCCATTTGTATATCTTTGAAGGAAACCTGTAAGCATTTTTTGCAGTATGAATTCTGAATCTCCTTTGTTTGAAGAGTTAACATGGTTTCTTGTTAAGAGCATTGGAGAATAAGTTCTCATAGAGTGTAGGGGATCTCTAGTCTGATATTCAAAGAATTTTTAATCAAGTAGTACTCGAAGAAGTAATATATTATTACTGCTTTGGCTAAATATGAAAACTTACTGATATTTTATGCCATTTAAGCGGTAATTTCTAATGGATTTCTTAGGAGAAAAAGGCACCTAGAAGGCTGCGATTCTAAGGTTTATGTATTTACAACTATTTTGTGAATGAATTTGGAAAGTTTGAACACAGTCATTGACTAAATAGGGTCATTAATACTACTGTTAAGGTAACAGTGAGAAAGGAAAGTAAAAGAATAGAACAGAAGATTTATAGAGAAGGAGGACACTCCTGAGCTTGTAAAAGTGAAGTTACAGTAAGCACAGAAAACAGAATATGAATTCAGCATTTTTTCTGACAATGCAAAAAGACCGCATGAACAATAAGAATTAAGAATGTTAAGCAAATATGTCTGCAAGAATATGATTCACCTGCTGTCCCAAAGAGCAGGTTGCATATTTTTTTTTGTCTTAAGAGCTTGTCATCAAAGCGTGGTCAGCCAGTTTGTTAATAGTGAAGCAAAAGAGAGCAGTGGTGCAGCTGGCTCTGACTTTGTTGTGCTCTATTGTCATCTCTGTTTTGGCTTTGCATCGCTACAGCATTTCAACTCAGTTTCCTCTTATAGTTTGGTAGAATTGGAATCTTTTGGACTTTAGAACATCATATCTCAAGGTATTACTTATCTACTCAGTGTAAGGAATAATATACTTGATTCTTGAAGTAATGTAGGCTTATTTTTTGATCAGTCTTTCTCTTATGCATTGAATAGAAAACTTGTCCAGTTGGATCAAAAGAAAAATATCAAATGTTGCTGAAGAGAGATATAACAGTGGATATATATTTTAGTGTAAGAAAGTGAGAATTTCTTCTTCTTTAGTGTAAGAAAGTGTAAGAAAGAGAATTTCTACTAGAACCTTGCTTCGTACTGGTTACATTTTAATAATTTGTATTTAAATAAAAAAGCAGGTGGTCATTCATTTGCCTGCTAGAACTGACCCCATTTATGTCTCAAATTTCCCATCTGCAGGGTGCACTCTCTGTGACCGAGCCTATCCCTCAGACTGCCCAGATCACGGACCGGTGACTTTTGTTCCTGACACTCCAATAGAGAGTAGAGCGAGGCTTTCTCTCCCAAAGCAGCTTGTTCTCCGCCAGTCAATTGTGGGAGCAGATGTTGGTAAGACCCTTGGAACCATAAAACCCCATCAGAGGTTCTTCTTCCTTTGTAGGGTGAAGTTGTAAAAGTGGATGTGTGTAATTTAGTGATTATTTGGTTGATCCAGAAGTCAGTTTATAGCTGAGATTTATCCTTTTACGGAATATTTGTCTTGTCCAGGGGTGACAGCAGTACATCAAGTTGAAAACTTTATTGGGAAAGTTCCCCTTTCTTAGAATCAGAATTGAATAGAGGAGAGAATCCTAGCCTGAGTCTTTGAAGACTTGACTTTTATTTTCAGCTGCATCATCCACTATCAATAATCATGACAAAGCACTCCTTGAAACTTAGTTTCTTTTATAAAACATTGAAAATTCACCATTGATAACTTCTTTATCACTAAAGATATTTACATCAGATGTTTGTAAATTGCCTAATACTCCTTAGGAAAAGGTAATAAGAAATGTAGACTGCCAAAGTATGCTTATCCATATTGGAACTTCACATGGTATCTGAAATCACTGTGCCATTCTTCGAAAATACAATACTAGGTTCGTTATTCTTTCAGGTGTAACTTAGGCATGGGTCAATTGAAAGCATTAAACAGCTTAGATAGTAAAGAGCAGTGCTTTAAGCACAAGTGATCTTAGAAGTTTGATTTATTTTGTAGTAATTGCTTTACTTTTTTATGATAGAATGATGTTCTCTAGTCTTTTTTATGTATCAACTCCAAAATAACGTATTTGAAGGGACATGGTTTGGTTCCTTGTGTATAAAAATGGTTCAGGAATTTCTGATACTGTTTCTTACTCTGCTTATTTCTTCTGAGCCCCTATCTAATCTGTTTATTACTTTTTCCTTATTTACAGGATAGGACCCATAAGACTTATCTACCTCTCAGGAGTGCTAGAATATCAGTAGTACTTAGGTTCATTGAAAATAAGATTCTTTGTATGAGTTAAGCTACTCTCTTCTCTATCTGATTAGATGTTTAAATCATTGATTGTGTAGTTCATGTCCTTCCATTGATAGGTGTATGGACTGGAGAAACCATTCCTGTGCGGACTTGCTTTGGGCCTCTTATTGGCCAGCAAAGTCACTCCATGGAGGTAGCAGAATGGACAGACAAGGCAGTTAATCATATCTGGAAGGTCAGTGTTTATGAAACTTTTCTATGACTTTTGGTTGCTTTCACTGTAATGAGGTAGTTAAAAACTTACCCAAGATTCATACAGTACCTTTCACTATCAGTCATTTAATAGTACATTCTCTCTGTTCTTGGTAGCCAACTTATTATACACAGCAAAACATCAGGTATTGAATATGGAAGATAAACTGTTTTAGTCTCCATTTTGTTAGATAACTCAATGATTATTCATTTTTATTACTTGTGGCAGCTGAGGCCATGGACTTTGTTTATATGTTGAAAGTCTTATTTTGTAATCAACTAAAACATTCCTCAAATATTTAGCTTGGGAAACAATTCTAGAATTGGAAACTAAGATTATTTCTCTAGTTTTCTAACGGAAGGGGCTGTAGAAACTTAAGTTTTTGATATAAACAGCTATTCCTATAACATGTTTGTATAGAATTTTAGTCAATAGGTTGAGAATGATGCCTGCAAAAATTGAACTAAGGGGGAAATGGGTCTTGTGATAGTTGGAAAGGTAGAGTGCCACTGGCATTGGGGACTTTAATTGTGGTATCCAGGAGTAAACGTAGAGGAATGCTACGTGCATTGGAGAAATAATGAGAAGAGGTGGTTCTCCGACCTTAATGTCCATTCATGTGGTAGGTGGTGAAGACAAGCAGACTGTTTCTTATGTCTTTTCCAGTCAAGCCAAAATGTGAATAATCAAGAGCAACATGATTCTATACACTGAGCACTAACTGTAGGTCTCTAGTAGTCTTTATTGTACTGCTGGAAATAGGGGGACTGGTGAAATGACAAACATTTGAGAAGACAACCATGTATTTTCACACTGACTAGGAAAGTTGGTACCTACTGCAAAGTAAATGAGATTATTGCTAGACTAAACTTAGTAGCATTGTGTATCACTTTTCAGTTCATCTGATGTGTATGTTTGCCTTTTGTTGACAGATATACCACAGTGGTGTCCTAGAATTCTGCATCATTACAAGTGACGAAAATGAATGTAACTGGATGATGTTTGTGCGCAAAGCCAGGTAAGAGTAGACTTGGATGAAAGAAACAGTTACGATTCACATGTTTTTCAGTAGGAAGCTTTGAATAGAATAGGGAAGAATCGAAGAATCCAAATGACAGTGATATCTGAACATACCTTAAAGCCTAAGACTTTTCACCTTCTTCACCCCAGTAGTTGTTGACTAAGGGTTATTATAAATCAAAAGATAAGAAACTATCCTTGTTTTATGAACAGTTTATTCAACTTACTAATGCAGTAAGGAATGATACAATTACCATTGACCTTGCAAGTGGGTACCTTTTCTTTTTTTTTGCTGTATGCGGGCCTCTCACTGTTGTGGCCTCTCCCGTTGCGGAGCACAGGCTCCGGATGCGCAGGCTCAGCGGCCATGGGTCACGGGCCCATTTGCTCCGCGGCATGTGGGATCTTCCCGGACTGGGGCACGAACCTGTGTCCCCTGCATCGGCAGGCGGACTCTTAACCACTGCGCCACCAGGGAAACCCGGGTACTTTTTCTTTATATTAGCTATTAGTCAACCCCTTAGGCTGCTGTTGTGGTTAATTCTTGTTCAGCTATCTATTTCTGTGTCTTTGTTATATTGTTTTAAGACTTTATTTATTTTTCTTCCAGTAACAGACTGTAGTATTTCTGACTATAAAGGATGATATTGAAGTAAGAATTCTGTTTCTATGCAAGTTACTCCTAATAGGTAGTATAGGGAATTAGAGAAATGACCCAGAGAAATAGTACATCTAAGTTTTCATATAGGATTTTGCTGTAGGGATATGATGTGTTTAGTGTATATTTCAAAATTAATATGCTTGATGGGAGTTCCCTGGTGACCTAGTGGTTAGCATTCTGGGCTTTCACTGCTGTGGCCTGGGTTTAATCCTTAGTCGGGAAACTGAGATCCCGCAAGCCTTGTGGCACAGCCAAAAAAATTTCTTTTAATTAATAAAATAAATTTAATATGCTTCATCTGTTAAATGTGATAACTTAGGAATCGGGAAGAGCAGAATTTGGTGGCTTATCCCCATGATGGAAAAATCTATTTCTGCACCTCACAAGATATCCCTCCTGAAAATGAACTGCTTTTTTATTACAGCCGGGATTATGCTCAGCAGATTGGTAAGTTTATGTAAGACTTGTTTGCTATGAATCTAGCATAGTAAAAGCACCAAGGACCAGTAGTAGAGTTTTGGTAATGATTTACATGTAAGCTGAAACAAATCACATACCTTTGTGTATATAAAAGCAGGATATTACCCCATGTTAAAAGTGTTAAAATCCGTGAGATTCTTCATAAGCTAATTGTTATTGACCAGACAGTATGAACTTTTGTGTTAGGACTTTGATTTGTGGAATTTGAAGTTCCTGTGTTCCTTTTGAACCATTACAATTTAATTTCATAAAGGACAGCAAAGCTTCTTGAGTTGGTTTAACCTTCATAGGCTTTTTCTTGCACTGTGTCATGATGACAAGTGATGTTTAGGAGTTTGTATACTACAAAATCTTAAGTTTTTTTCCTAGGAAGGGTGCCTTATAATCCAGTATTTACCAAGTGTTCCCTATGTATGTGCCTGACACGCTATCTGAGATGCTGGGACTAGAGCATTGAACAAGATGTTTTAATTTTACAGGTAGTGGGCAAGCTGGAAATTTTGGTAGTAGGGAGAATTATAAGCAATAGTTACTAATATCAACAAAGTTTTTAAATTTAAGTATCAGGAGACATTGAATAATCTTTCTCTTAAGGTGTTCCTGAACACCCAGATGTGCACCTCTGTAACTGTGGCAAGGAGTGCAGTTCCTATACAGAGTTCAAAGCCCACCTGACCAGCCACATCCATAACCATCTTCCTAACCAGGGCCACAGCAGCAGCCATGGGCCAAGCCACAGCAAAGAAAGGAAGTGGAAGTGCTCCATGTGCCCCCAAGCTTTTATCTCTCCTTCCAAACTTCATGTTCACTTTATGGGTCACATGGGTATGAAGCCCCACAAGTGTGATTTCTGTAGCAAGGCTTTTAGTGATCCCAGCAACCTGCGGACCCACCTCAAGATACATACAGGTAAGTTGTGTTGGACCGTCAAAGTGGAATTTTGAAAAATTAGAAATTAGTAAGGCCTTGGCAGCAAGATAGTCTTGCAGGTAGAGTTGAGGTCAGATGTTAGAAAGAATCCAGCTGGCTGTCAGCGGGACTTTGTTGGGTCATAAATCTTGGTGGGATAACTGTGCCTCCTCAGAGAGTATTACTTCTCGTTATTAAGTTGCTTCACTTTCCAGGTGCCCCCACCATAGTTTGAAGGTGACTGGAAAAATGCAGTTAATAATCAGGAAGTTGATGTATGTGTTTGGGCCTAAAGGGAATTCTACAGAAACAGCCTGAGCCTCCCATTAGAGCTCACCCCTGGTCACCAGCCACAGCCAGTTTCTTTCCTTTGAATATTGCTCAGTAAACACTGCCAAAATTTGTTGAGTTTCTATTTTCTAAACTCCATACAAACCAACCCCTTTCTCTTAGCACTTACTTTTTTCACTTACTTTTTTACTTTGCTATAAAGTAACTGCTTTAGTTTCGTTTTCTTGGCTGGGTCATTCATTCTCCAAATCTTTGAAAGTAAAGCTTTTCCTCATTCTTTTCCATTAAGACTGAGTAGTCGCAGCAGAGACCATGTGGCTCACAGAGCTTAAGATTCTGACTGACCTGTAAGAAAAGGTTTGCTAACCCCTGACTTAGAGTAACTTTATTTCTTTTTTTTTTTAATATAAATTTATTTATTTATTTTTGGCTGTGTTGGGTCGTTGCTGCGTGTGGGCTTTTCTTTAGTTGTGGCGCGAGTGGGGGCTACTCTTGGTTGCTGTGCGGTGGCTTCTCTTGTTGTGGAGCATGGGCTCTAGGTGCACAGGCTTCAGTAGTTGCGGTGCGTGGGCTCAGTAGTTGCGGCTTGTGGACTCTAGAGTGCAGGCTCAGTAGTTGTGGTGCACGGACCTCATTGCTCCGCGGCATGTGGGATCTTTCTGGGCCAGGGCTTGAACCTGTGTCCCCTGCATTGGCAGGCGGATTCTTAACCACTGAGCCACCAGGGAAGTCCCTATTTCTGCATTCTTAAAAGGATTTTATTTCATCCCTGGTTTATGAGGTCATATTAAATGTTTTAAAAAAGAATACTAAAATGTAGGTTGTAAAAATATGTTTGCTTTTATAGGCAAGTACTAGATTTCATGAGTTTTTTAAAAAAATAATTGAATTAAGTTGGGCACTGGGGTTATAAGTGATTTTTTTTCCAGAGTTTATATCATGTGTTAGCTATAAACATTAAAAAGTGTGTGTGTGTGTGTGTGTGTGTGTGTAGGTAAGCAGTCCTAGGAGGTCAGATTTGTTAGCTTCACTAGCTTTAGTTGCAGAATATAAATTCAGTGGCTCTGAGTAGCTCTGGGTAGACAGTCCCAGAAAGTGAAGTTCCAGTTTACAGTCAGTTCTGTTTTATTCCTGCCTCTGCTACATACCCATACAGTGTGCCTCTTCATCCTGAGAATGCTCGTGGCAGTTTTATTCATGGTATGGTAATTCGGGTTGATGTGCAGGTCAGAAGAACTACAGGTGCGCTTTGTGTGACAAGTCTTTCACCCAGAAGGCTCACCTGGAGTCCCACATGGTTATCCACACGGGCGAGAAGAACCTCAAGTGTGATTACTGTGACAAGCTGTTCATGCGGAGGCAGGACCTCAAGCAGCACGTGCTCATCCACACACAGTGAGTCGCCCGCAGCCCAACACCCCTCGGGCGGGGAACGAGGCTTGTCATCTGTCTCCTGCCTTGGCACCCGTCGGTGCCTCCTGTGTTCCACGTAGCCAAGCAGAGGTTGGAAAACTAACGTTTTGGTTTATCCTGGAAGATTTCACTTGTTTGTTTTTCTTATTTTTCACCTCTACTCTCTGTATTTCCTTTTTTTTCATATTTTCAAAACATCGTTTCATTAATTTAACAAATTTCTAAGTACCTCCTTGATGCCCAGCACTGTGCTAAGTGGTAAAAATACAAAGATGAGGTGGTCCTTGGATTTAAAGAGCTTGGAGAGCATTAAGAGACAGAAGAGTAATTGCTATACTGTGTTGCAGATGTCAGGGTAAGCGCTGGGTCCTGAGAGACCAGAGAGGAGGCCCCAGCCCAGCCTGCAGTGTCCTGGGAAAGTGTCCTGGTAGTTTGAGCAAGCATTAAAGGAGATAAATTAGAGTTATTCAGGGAGACAGTGAAGGGTAAGGGATGAGAATACTGTTCTAGACAGATGAAACGGAGTATGCGAAAAGGACTGTGAAATGCGAGTGGTTCTTTTCTTTTCTTTTCTTTTTTTTTTTGGCTGCGCGTGCAGCATGCAGGATCTTAGTTCCCTGACCAGGGATCGAACCTGTGCTCCTGCAGTGGAAGCACAGAGTCGTAACCACTGGACCACCAAGGAGGTCCCGCTAGTGGCTCTTTATAGTTAGAGCGTTGGGTGTATATGAGAGTGAGGGAGAGAGAGGCAGCAGCCAAATCATGAAGAGCCTTTTATCCAACTAAGAAAATTAAATTTCATTCTGGAAATAATGGAGAGTCACTGAAGCATTTTTCCTACCTATGTACCAGGAACTATTCTGTGCTTTGTGTGTGTGCGTGCATGTGTGTATTTTAATTATGGCATAAAACACAAATTTTACTGTCTTAACCATTTTTAAGTATATAGTAATGTTACGTGTATTCACATTCTTGCACAGGCATTGAAGGATTTTAAGGGAAAGAATGTCATGGTGAGATGTTCTTTTTTTTGAGATGTTCATTTTATAAAGATTACTCTGGCAGCAGGAAAGGGTGATTGAAGGAGGAGAAGGCCAAGTATTGGGAGACCTATTAGGATTTTATTGCATGGATCCAAGTGTAATTAATTGCCCAGCCTGTGTTAGTTACAGTAGTAGTAGAGAGAAGAGAACAGATTTTGTGGTCCTGAGCTTTTAGCAAGTGTTAGAAGAGGGAGAAAACATTAGCTTGAATTATTATTTAGAAATCCATAAAAAATGGAAACTTTATATTTTTATTACAGGTTTTAGATAAATATTTTGCTTTTATACCAGCTCTTTGATTCATAGCCACAGTGCAACCTGAAACACTAAAACATCCAAGGAGTCTGGATCTACATTCCAGACTCTCAAAATGACCTTTTAAAACAAAGTCTTCATTAAGTGGTTTCATTCTTAGTATGAAATTTTAGAAATTTGACACACTAATTATCAAATATTAGATATGATTGTACATAATTAGAGCTAAAAGAGATCTCTGGGATCATTTAGTCTAGCTGCTTATATTAGTCAGCTTGAGCTGCCATTAACAAAATACCATAGACTGGGTGGTGGCTTAAACAAAAGAAATTTATATTCTTAAACTTCTGGAGGCTGGAAGTCGAGATCAGGGTGCCAGCATGGTTGGGTTTTGATGAGGGCCTTCTTCCTGGCTTGCGCATGGCTGCCTTCTTGTGTCCTCATGGTGGAGACAGCGAGCAAGCTCTGGTCTCTCTTCCTCTTCTTATAAGGGCACTAATCCCATCATGGGGGTCCCATCCTTATGACCTCATCTAAACCTGATTACCTCCCACAGGCCCCCACCTCCAAATACGATCACATTATGAGTTACAGCTTCAACATATCAATTTAGGAGTGGGGGTGGGGGGATGACAAATATCCAACCGATAACACTGCTCATGATAATCAGCTGGGAAATGTGAAAAACAGTGATTGGTGCCAGGGCCCCAGCTCCAGGGATTCTAATTTAGTTGGTCAGGGGTAGAGCCCTGGCCTTGGTATTTTTAAAAAGCTCCCCAAGTGAGTCTAATGTCCAGTCAGTGTTGAGTGCTACTGAGTTGATCCAAATGAAAGACTTGTTTCACAGTATCTCTGGCAAGTGGCTATATTGTTACTTCTTGAAAACCACACATAAAGAGGAGTTATTATCTTCCTTGACCTTAACTTTCTATTCTTTCAAGTGATGTGTAAATTTGCACTTGCTTTTATGGTAGCCATTTCACAGCATAATGAAATATAAATTATTTTGAGATTAGTCATAACTGCTTATCTCCTTTTGGGATGGAAGTTGGCTTTATCAGATGTTGACCAGTGAAAGCAGTTTTCTTAAATGTGGATCTGGACACTTTCTCATGATGACAAAATATAATAAGCCTCTGCCAAACTCCCATGGTATAAAAGGTGTTTTAGGACTGTCAAGACTTCATGCTAGTATAAGTCATTCATAAAAGAAGCACCATTCACCACACACACACACACACACACACACACATATTTTGGCTGCACCACACGGCTTGCAGGATCTTAGTTCCCCAACCAGGGATTGAACCCAGGCCCTCGGCAGTGAACGTCCTAACCACTGGACTGCTGGAGAATTCCCCAACCAATTTTTTTTTTTCTTTTTTTTTTTGGGGGGGGTACGCAGGCCTCTCACTGTTGTGGCCTCTCCCGTTGCGGAGCACAGGCTCCGGATGCACAGGCTCAGCGGCCATGGCTCACGGGCCCAGCTGCTCTGCGGCATGTGGAATCCTCCTGGACCGGGGCACGAACCCGTGTCCCCTCTATCGGCAGGTGGACTCTCAACCACTACACCACCAGGGAAGCCCCCGCTAACCAATATTTTTGAATGAGACTTCCTATAGAGGTCATTGGTAAAATTTTCAGTTGTTTGTATCCTTACTTTTAGGCATTTCAAAATGCATATGTTAGTATTGGAATTCATTCTATTTATCTGCTTAGAAAAGAACTATAGCCCCTAAAGCCAAATGTGGGAGTTGTTCCTCTCCCAGTGTTCCCCTGGGAGTATAAGGCATGGGACTATGCCCTTCCTCTAAGAAAGGAACTTGAGAGTACGAGTGGGGCGCTTATTCTCTAGGTCGTTATCTTAGTCCCGTGGCTTTGTGATCTATATCCCCAGCCTTATATAACTAACCATTCACTCAGCATCTCTGAGTTCTGGATGTCTGCTAGGCAGCTCAAACCTGATAAGTCCAAACCTCAACTCTTTGTATTAACCCAACAAACTTGATTTTCCCCAGTGTTCACCAGCTCAGAAAATGATACCACCATTCATCCCAGTGGCTCAAGCCAAACACCTTGGAGTCATCCTCAACTCAGTCTTCCATTCTTTCCTTCATTCAGCTCTTGCCTGGTTGAGACCACCAGCATCTTTTTTATGGGCAACTTCAGTAGTGTCCCAGCTGACTTCCCTGCTGCTCTTCTCTCTCCTCATCCACTCCCCAACACAGATATACACACAGGTGCCACACACACATGCTGTATTCGTCCACAGTGGCCAGAGTGATATATTTAAAACATAAGTCAGATTGTGCACATCTCCAGTCGTGATTCTTCATTGACTAGAAGTCCCTTCATGATGTGGTAGTGGTACTTGACTACGTGTCCCACTCCATCTTTTATTGCTTTTCTCATACTGTTCTAGTTTACCCACATTGGGCCTCCCCTTGCTACTACTTCAGCATACTGAACACAGTCTCAGGGCCTTCGCACTGTTCTGCCTCTGCCTAGAAACTTCTCCCTCTGGATATCTCCCTGTCTTCCTCCCTCACTTCATTCAGGTTTCTGCTTAAGTTTGTCATTTCCTCAGAATGGCCTTCCTTGATTATCTCATCTAAAACAGGACTCTGTCACTCTTACCTCGTATTTATTACTATCGATATCACCTTATATATTTTTAATTTGTTTATGGTGTGAGTCCTCCACTAGAATGTAAGCTCCATGAAGGCAGGGACTGAGTTTTCCCTGTCCTGTAGCTCCACAGAATTCTTCTCTGCCACGTCCTGCTGGGAGAAGGTGGTAAAAATGCTAAGGATACCAGGCTTCAGAACTTTCCACTGCACCCTCACACTCCATCAAGGATTTTAACCCCCTTTTATTTGCTTCACATATTGGACTTTCATTAAGACGTAGGGTTCAGCTCCTCAAAAAAAAGAGGTAAAAAATTCCTGCTCTGTGTGATCCCTAAGTTTCTTTTCAGCTCTAAATGTCTAGGCCAAGTTTACTCCACCCTTAACACTACTGACATCTTTAGCCGGATAATTTTTTGTTGTATGGGCTACCGTAACACCATAGTTAGATACCATTGTGTATTGGTCAATTGGCAAATGTTTTCAAATTTGAGTTTTCCAGTTGGTAAGAATGTGGGGCAATGGCAACTCACAAATGGCTGTTGATGGATGTGTATATCAATACAGCCATGTTGGAAAACAGCGTAGCATTATCTAGTAAAATTGAAGATGTACATATCCTTTGATCCAGCTATGCCTCTCCTGAGTATATGCCGTAGACCAGCGGTCCCCAACCTTTTCGGCACCAGGGACAGGTTTCATGGAAGACGGTTTTCCCACGGATGGGGGACGGGGATGGTTCAGGCGGTAATGCGAGCCATGGGGAGCGGCCGATGAAGCTTCTCTTGCTCACCTCTGCTGTGCGGCCCGGTTCCGAACAGGCCGTGGACCCCTGCCCTAGAGGAACTGATGCGTATGCAAATCCACACACCAGTGTAGAAATGTTCATAGCAAGTCTTGCCTGTGGTGATAAAGAACTGGAAACCACCAGAATACCCATTAACAACAGACAGAGCCAGTGCCACAGATAAGTTGTGGTATATTTGTAAGTAGCTTACAGCCGTGGAAGGGAGCAAACTACTGATACAGCAACTTGATTGAAATTCAGAAACATCATGCTGAGTGAAAGAAGCAAAACACAAGAGAGATACATACAGTACGATCCCATTTACATAGAGTTCTAAAACAAGCAAAATCAGTCTATGGTGTTTAAACTACAAATGTTTTATGACTCTTCTATATGATACATCTCCTGTTTTAAAAAAAAAAAAAGTTTGATTCTACTTGGGTAGAGCTTCTCTGACAAGGTCTGAGGTTGTGCAGAATAAGTGTGTGCCTCAGTTGTCATTTGTAACCCCAAATCAAATGTTTTTTTCTTGTGTTCCTCTTAGAGAACGCCAGATCAAGTGCCCCAAGTGTGATAAGCTGTTCTTGAGAACAAATCACTTAAAGAAACATCTCAATTCACATGAAGGAAAACGGGATTATGTCTGTGAAAAATGTACAAAGGCTTATCTAACCAAATATCATCTCACCCGACACCTGAAAACCTGCAAAGGGCCCACGTCCAGTTCATCAGCGCAGGAGGAGGAGGAGGAAGACGACTCGGAGGAGGAGGAGCTCGCGGACCCTGTGGGGGCAGAAGGCTGCCGGGTTAGCAGTGCTGTGTATCCCGTGGACGAGGCTCTGTCTACACATAAATGAAAGGAAAAGGAGCCAGCTGTTTCGGATGGAAAATACAAAAGGGAAAAACACACATGACCAGTTACCCACTACCTTGCTTTTTATATAAAATAATTTCTGATTTCCTTCCAGCCAACAGTCAAAACAGACTAAATGGGAACGGATAAAGCACTTATAGAAGAGTATCCTAATGAAAACACTTTAAGAAAGATTGAGAAAAGAGCATGTATCCTATTTTTAAGTGGCGTATGGGGGGGAAAGTGTCAACTTTTGAGATCTTTTTTTTTGCTGTACACGGGCCTCTCACTGTTGTGGCCTCTCCCATTGCGGAGCACAGGTTCCGGATGTGCAGGCTCAGGGGCCATGGCTCATGGGCCCAGCTGCTCCGTGGCATGTGGGATCTTCCCGGACCAGGGCACGAACCCGTGTCCCCTGCATCGGCAGGTGGACTCTCAACCATTGCGCCACCAGGGAAGCCCTGAGATCTATTCTTTATTTACATAATTGGGTGATACATTTATGCCTGAGTCAGAGCTGCTCTCTGCCCAAACAAATCAGATTTATTTTAAATTCTTTCATTATTCCATTTTTCTCCCAAGCCACTGATTTGGTAGCACTCTAAACTTGGTCCCTGCCTTTACAGTCGTCCTGATTATGGTTCTGGTGTTTTGTTTTATGCAGACTTGTGACTTAAGCTTATCCCAGAATGGATTGGAATATAACAACGTAAGCTTGTTACTCTTGACTGCAGCTAACAAGTTTAAAGCACCACCTACCTTAATCTCTCCTGGCTGCTTGGGAGTTTAGGGTAGGTCTTGCTTCCCAAAGTTTCAGCAGGTACCTAGAGGACAGATAAAAAAGGGAGCAGCTGGGCAGTAGGCACTGATGGAGAGAAGAAAAGGAGAGATGCCTGGGCCACTGTCCAAGAAGCTAGCTTTGATTGAAGCTGGGGTAAGAGATCTGGTGGTTGTTCCTTAGAGGTCTTTGTAGGTTTAGACATGTCTCTGTCTCCAGTGAAGCCTCCAGCACCCAGACAAAGGGGATCTGGGGGTGTAGCAAGCCAAGTAATGCCTGCTGCATCGTCTCCTGATAACAAGGACATGTGGACTCAGCTGGCAAAGTGGTATCTTGGCCCAGGGAAGGAAGGAGGGAATGATCCTTCCTATCTGGCTTACCCTATGAAAAGGATCAAGACACCATTAAAATGTTGCCAACTCAGAATGACAGATGACATATTGGTGCATTTGCAAGATTAGGCCTTCCCAGTTGTCTACAATGAAGGACCTCATCAGTTAAGCATGGTGGATGCCAAAGGATTTGGGAAGTGCAGAAGGTTAAATGGTCACCACGTGGGTGTTTTTTCAGGGTCCCAGCTTAATTCATCTACCCATCTGATCTTTTCACCTTGTCTCTCATGCATCTCCTGCTTTCAGCAAGAAGCAAACACATCGTGAAGTTGACGGTTGATGGAACATGCTCTCCTGCTCTAAGGCACGACCTCTGGGCTGGAGTAGAGAGAACCTTGGTGGGAAGGTTTTGCTGCTAATGTATTTATGGAATGAATGTATTTCATTCAAATCTGTATTCCTCTAGGAAGGATTAAAATAAAAACTTTTTAAAAAATACGATTCCTCTTGTAATCTCATTTTGTGGACGGAGAGGAATGAGTCTTTTTAGGGAAAATGAGGTACAACTTGAGTTTTTCTTAAGGTCAGAAGTGGAGAAAGTATTTCCTAAGTACTGTAGCTTTGAAATTATATTTTCGCATGCTTCTGCATAACAGTGCTTAAATGAACTATGCTCCCTGCGTTTCCAGCTCTCATCCCTGCCCTCTTCCTTCCTGAGGTGGTGCCTTTACTTTGCTGTCTCCTTGGAGAACTACAGGTCTACAGTTGAGGGAGTTGGTGAGGTATGGTGGTTAGAGGTGGCTGTCAACACTGGGCCATGAAGGCTTCATCAGGGAGCTCTGGTGGGACTGAGGCAACTCAAATCTCAGCCTTTTGAGCTGGTAAAGGCATCCTGGTGGCAGTGACTCCTGTCCCCAGGAAACCATCGGTGCTAGAACTACAAGCACCCTTTCTCCCTTTAACTCTGGCTCACGCTGGGTTAAATTTCTTCATTTCCAGGTGCTAGTTGAAGTGCTGCCCAAGATAGATAAACCTTAGGTAAAACAGTAAAAGAGGAATTCTGGGAAATAGTTTAGGTGAAAATGTAGCTGTTGTTGCTTGCTTTACAACTGTGTCTTCCATTTTTTTTTTTACCTCTTAGACTTAAGTGACACATTGTAAGTCATTCTCACAAGATGAGTAAATTAGTAGCTGCCCCTTTGACAAGATTTTACTCTGAGCCTTCCTTGCCCATTGCAGGTGCCCTCATCTGTTGCTGCTGCTGGGATCAGTCTGCTGTTGGGTAAATGGTCACATTCAGAGGCAGGATATTATGAGTGTGGGCTCTGTAGCCCTGCTGAACGTTCTCCAATCTGGGCTTTGCTGCACGATGGTTTGGAAGCTCAGTCAAGTTATGTAACCTCTCTGTGCCTCTTTTTACTGAACTGTAGGCAGAGACTACTAATAAGAGGTCCCATTTCATAGTATTATTTGATGTTAATTCATGTAAAGGGCTGGCACAGTGCTCAACATACAGTGAGCACTGGCTAATATTCTTTAGTTTTAGGTTATCCTAGCACAGATTTCTATCCTTAAAATATGGCTATTCATGACCCAAGAAGTCCTAGATTTTAGTGAGACAAGTAAAACTGACGTGACTTGAGTTTTCAAGGCCAAAGCCTAGAAACTTTAGTTTGCAGTCTTCTTGTAGATCAGTATATGTATGTTTGCTGTTTCCTTCCTTAAAAGGCGAGTTTCAATCTTGCATGTGTGCTGAGTTCCTCCGTACGTCAGAGGGCAAAGAGGTGACAGGATCTAGTCTGCTTCAGCCTTTTCAGCCTATTGACCTATATTCACACTTGCTAGTGTGTCTTGAGGAACATAAACGTTGCCAGAGCTATCAGCCCCTTATTAAGTATGTAAACTTATATTACCTGATCACCAAGCTGCATCTTAGAGTCAAACACTCAAAAACAACTTCAGGTATATAAATGATATCATCTGTTTTGGGCAGAATTGTGTTCCTTCAAAATTCATGTATTGAAATTCTAACCCCAGTACCTCAGAATGTGAGTATATTTGGAGATAAGGTCTTCAAAGGAGTGATTAAGCTAAAATGAGGTCCTTAGGGCATACCTTAATCCTGTATGACTGGTCTCCTTATAGAAGAGGAAATTTGAACAGAGAGACCCAGGAGGAGGATCACCTGAAGACGCAGGAAGAAGATTGCTATCTGCAAGCCAAGGAGAGAGGCCTCGGAAGAAACAACTCTGCTGACCCCTTGACCTCGGACTTCTGGCCTCCAGAACTGTGAGAAAATTAATTTCTCTTGTTTAAGCACCCTCCCCCCGCCCCCTGTTTGTGGTACTTTGTTGTGACAGCCCTGGCAAACTAAATACTGTCCAACCGAATAGACCATCTTTATGGTGATTGCTTCATAGAGGAGCAGCTTCCAGAGTAGCGATTACAGTTTAACCTCAGTTTTACAAATCGTGAGCAACATAATGGCAGTAACAATCTGTAGTGGTGTGTTTTGCCACTGGCAGATTTCTGGACTGCTGAAAGGATAGAATTGCTCCTCAGCTATGTTTTTGTTCCTTTGCTTTTCTTGCATATACGCACTTGACAGTCATGAAGCCCCCAGGCCTATGTCATCCTCAGATAAGGACAACTTTCTTTCAAAAACATATATTGGCAAAAACAAAAAACAAAACCAAAAAAAACCCCGAAACACTTATTGAGTGCTGGCACAAATTAAGGCATTGTAAAGGAACAGAAAAATGGTTAGAACTTATGCCCTTGTCCTCTGGAAACTCAAAATTTTGCAGAGATCTGAATGCACAGCTGGATCACCTGAGGAAATGAGAAAAGTCAGGTGTCCAGGTCAGCCCCAGGCCTACTGATGAGCCTCCTGGGCTCCCCAGGTGATCCTGAAGCAGTCCACAGGCGTCTTAAACGTTGGAGACCCCACAAGATGCAGATGCAGACACCTATACCCAAGGCAAGCCAGACCATGGCAAGTGTTACAGGTACAAGAAGTAGTAAAATCTAGGAGCAGGAGTGAAAATGTAATTCTAAGAGAAGAATAGTAAGGAAAAGTGGATAAAACAATCCTGGACCTGTGGTGTAGTAAAATAAGGCTGGGGCAATACATTTGAGATAACAGGGCTAAAATTTTTATTTTTATTTATTTTTAAAAATATTTATCTGGTTGCATTGGGTCTTAGTTGCGGGCGTGCAGGATCTTCGTTGTGGCATGTGGGCTTCTTTCTGGTTGTGACGCGCGGGCTCTGGAGCACGCGGGCTTAGTTGCCCCGCAGCATGTGGGATTTTAGTTCCCCGACCAGGGATCAGACCCACGTCCCCTGCATTGGAAAGCAAAGTCTTAATCACTGGACCGCCAGGGAAGTCCCCAAGGAAGGCGGAATTCTTAACCACTGGACCACCAGGGAAGTCCCAGGGCTAAAAATTTTAGAATGACTAGTTTACCAGATCAATAGCTGCTTTTTGATTATTTTTAATGCATTGGTAGTGTTTACTTGTGGCAGGCATTGTTCTAAATAACACATTTAACCTGCACAGTAGACTTGTGATGATCCCTAGTATAAAGAAGAAACAGAGGTGCAAGAGAGGTGAAGTAATTGACACACAGTTACATGGCTGTTAAGTGCAGTCTGCGCCTAGCCCACCAAGCTTTATTGATTCTTCAGTAGTGGCCTGGCTAAAATTGGGATCTCACCATGGCATATAGGCAGGCTACAAGTCTTTAAAGGCAGTCACACAGAACATTTAAATTATTCTATTTAGACAAAACATATTTATATACACGAGTTAGGGAGCTCGTGGAAAGCATGCTTTGGTTTTTGTTTTCTCCTCTGCTGCAGCAGCCCTCTCCACCCTCCACCCACTTCGTGCTGCTGCCTACTTGCTGAGGCACAGGCTAGAGTTGGGCTTTGGGGTAGGACAAACACCAAGATCTGTTAATGGCCAGAATGAGGAGAGAAAATCACTTAGGGAGAAGGGTACTAACTTCGGGAAAATTTACTTCTTGACTGATCTATCACTGGTCAGTAGACAACTTCCAGCCCTTCTTAGCTAACATGTTCTAGGACATCTGTGACACATTTATTTGCAGATATCGTTTGTAACAGAAGTAGTATATTTTAGTTTAACATTTGTTTAATCCTCGTAGAGCATTATAAAAGATTTTACCCCCATTTTATGGTTATTGAAAATGAAGTTCAGAAAAATAAAGATGTTCCACATTTCATATTCAGTACTTCACTGCCTGGGAGCACTTTTTTAAAAGTACATTTTAAAATGTATGTAAATATTTCTCCTCCAGGGTTCTCTTCCATGTGACTCCACATGCTGCTGTTCTGACACCTCATTTCAGGGTGCATCACACTGCTACCTCTACTAGTTGCATATTTGTGCTGGGGTTGTGAAATGCATTTTTATAAGCAGAGAGCACCATTATGGGCCATTGCTCTTAATTGGTTACAGACAACTGGCACTCAGCTATGAAAAATGAATTAGTCAAAAGCGTGGGAGATGACATAATTTTCTGTTAAGGACCTTTTCAAGATGCCTGACCCAGATATGCTGTAGCAAAAAGAAAGTGAGCCAGGCTATTTTGCATCTGAAATTCCCAAATGCAAGTAGTATTTTGAGGCCAAAGAAAAGCAGGATGACCCATTCATTCAGTATATATTTGTTCTCTTTGGGAAAGGAACATGTTAGACTTTAAGGGGGGTAGAGGAGGGAGATAAAGTGTAGGGGAGGGAGATGGAAAAACAATGGCTTATGACCAGGAAATTCAATCTCAAGCCCAGAAGCATACACACATGCAAAAAAAAAAAAAAGATATATTCAGGATCAGAGTCCGTCCTTACAGGTGTGTAGTTAGGAT